AACGAGGATTTAGATCCTCGGCAGTGTCTGAAAGATGTCGTGCCCGCCCTAAGTGAAGGCGGGCCTGCAAATATGTGCCAAAGCATGTTTATAGGCCTATGAGACCAGGTTGAGGGGCCCAAGCAGAGCCTATTGTAAACCCCATGTGGGCATGGATCTTCGACAAGGCTTTGTTACGAGTTGGCTCCTTGGCATGCCCCTGTAGGGCCCTTTCAGCAAGCATGTGCCCGTCCTAAGTGAAGGCGAGCCCCTGAATTTCAATATGGCCTGAGTTCGTCAAATTTGGTAAAGGTTGGTGGGCGCCAGACAGTTGCCATGCGCCAGTTGGTTACGTCCTCCATACTCGCGAGAATCAGAAATGATTCTTGGGCCTTCTAGGCTCTTCCAGCAGCACAGGTGAAGCAGGGAGAACCTCGCGTTTACTCCTGGGTGGTTGGGCAGGCTCAACCAATTCGGTCCCAGGCCACTGTCTGGATGGGCCTGGGCGCAGACACTCTGGCCCGATTGGAAGCTACCGGAAATAAACGAGGCCCAGCCAGGGAGCAGACTGGGCGAGCACTTTCCATAAACGAAAGAGATCGCCACTGGTCGAGGCATTTGGGCACTAGGCAGTGCATGCGGCAGTGCTGCTCGAGCGTGCGCTCGCAGGCTCTGCGCTAAGCACTAGCGCTAGTTGCCAGGCAGTGCGCGCGGGCGCTGGAAGAAGGCAGGGTGCTGCTGAGGGCAGCGCCATAGCCAGCCCTCTATAGCCAGGGCTTGGCTTGGACAGCCAGTGGAGGTGGTGGTGGCCTTCGTGCATGAGGGAGAAGACGTGGGAGGAAGACAAGGACAGGGAGAGGCAGGGAGAGATGAGGATGATGATGTGAGGGCTCATACCTGATACTGGCGATGGTCTGCATCTTCAAGTACTTCGGTGGCTGCTGAAGTCAACAGTTGCATTGTCAATTCGTAGGCAGGAAGTAGCTGTGTAGGGAGTAGCCTGGGCGTTGAGCGCCAAGTAGGGAGAGAGGGCCTGGATACGTATGTCGGTGGGGATGAGAGTAAGCTCTCATTGACATTCGGTTTCAGTGTCTCGATTCTCCATTGGTGTAATATTGGTGCAATGCTGCTTTCTGGACACTGTGGGACTTTCTTGCTTTCAATGTGATTGTGCTATCTGGATTCTGTCATCTCGCTCTCTC